TGGCCATCCCCTCTGGGGAGTGATTTCTCGCTTTTTGTCTCTCTGTCTCTCTCTGTCTGGCTGGCAAGTACATATGCCCTATAGTAAAAATCATTCTCTTAAAAAAAGAAAAAGAAAAGAGCCATTGGACCCACGCCAAGGCCCACTAGACTGTTTAATGCCCTTGCAGGCAATCAGGAACTTCAGAACTGGGAGCAAAAGCTGACTGACAGGTTTTCTTTTCTGTTTATCCCATAAAGATTCCTCTACCCTTCAAGAGGACCAAGCTTTAATGTGTGTGTGTGTGTGTGTGTGTGTGTGTGTGTGTGTATCTGCCAACAGTATACGGAATAATAAAGCAGGTACTTACCCCAGCCTTAATGTAAATGGGGACAAACAACCAGCCCAGCACAACCACGAAAACAAGGGCCTGAAACCAGAACAAGAGGTGGATTCAAACAAGAACCTTCGTCTACCCCACCACCTGGTGGGCTCCCCAGTTGCAGGAAAATCATCCAGCCTTTTCTCTTTATGGATCTCAGGACAACTCCTCAGGTGGCCATTAGAGGCAAGAGGAGGCCTTTCCACAGCCCATGGGAGTAGCAGGTGGGTGGCAGCAGAGGGCCACCCCGGAGCACGCCCACTAACATCAGAGCCCTGAGCCCCCAACACGGCACTGGATTTCCCTGGGTCTCTTTGTTAGTTTATAAGGCATAAAATGCCATTTGGAAAGCCTTAACATAATAATAGTAGTAGCAATCTGATAGTAAGCCTTTTCAAACCTCCCATGCAGCTGGAAGGATTCTGGGGACCTTGACTTTTTCACATTGCTGTCTTATCAGTGGTTTCCTCATTCTATTCTAGTGGGAGCAGAGCAGGACCCCGTGGCACCTCGAGCTCCTCGGAGTGAAGAGGCTGACTGCTCAGGCTCCTTCCAGCTCTGGGGCACAGAGTCTCTGGTCTTACTCACGTTAAATTCAAAGCCTCCAGTGGCGATGCCTGCAGCTGCTCCTGTCCCAGCCAGCCCCACGAAGTGGCCACTTCCAATGTTACTGGCAAAAAGAGAGGCCCCAATCTGTAGACACAAGACGAAGTCAAGTTAACGACTCTATTCTGGACCAGAACGCTCAGGGTGGGCCACAGAGAGAAGAGATATGGGAGGCAAGAGCAGAGGCAGACTGGAGTCTAGAGGACAGCTGGAGTCTGCCAAGGTAGCTGGATCAGAGAGCAAATGTGGAAGCTTGGGAAATAGTGAAGGTGGAAAGGAGAGGACTGGCAAAGAACAGTGGGCCATATGCCCAATCAGACCACCCGTGAGCTTGGTGCCCAGCGGTGAAGAAGACATGGGAAGCTCCACAGCCACCAGGTCTCCCGACACATCCCCTGTCGAGCTGTCTGCTCAGAGGCAGGGCCTGTGCCATTGATCTCTAGGTCCTTCATCATGTTTAGGCCTTGCCCAATACAGAATTTCAAGAATTTCTTGAAAGGAATCATTTAAAAGGAAGCCTCTAGGGTCAGAGAGTGACACAATGGAAAGGGAACTGGACCCACATAGGAAAGGTCCTGCGTTCGTGTCCCGGGATCTCCCTGAACACACCCATGTATTCCTGATCCCAGCTGGCTGAACCAGGGGTAGATCACAGTATGAATACCCTGTTGGGGGTCTCTCTCTCTCTCTCTCTTTCTCTGCCTCCGGGTGAGAGAGGACAATAGTGGTATAAGATGAAATAAGGTGGTATAAGATGAAATAAAGACCAGTGTAGAGATTTGGAGAATATTTTGGAAACAAAGTTGACAGGCTTTGTTGATGGATTACATTTGGGAAATGAAGGGAAAAGTAATCAAGGGTGACTCCTACCCTTGGGGCTTTAATAACTGAATGGATACCATTCATAAATGAGATACATGGCCACCAATGGTGTGGTGGTTAGGGTAGCTGGATCCCATATGGCTGACTACATGGTTCAAATCCCAGGTCCAGCAACTCAAAAAATAGGCCAGGTTGCATGTGTGTGCATGCCCAAAATCCCAAGAGGAGAATGGAGGAGAAGAGATTAAGGCATGTCATTCCCATTGGGGATGCTTTCTCATTCCCCCTTCCCTGTCTTGTGGTCTTTCTCTGGTGAGCACATGTGCCCTATAGAAAAATTTAAAAATAATCATAAAAAAGGAGATACATGCATATTACATAATGATCAAATCAGGATAATTAGGATATTCATCACCTTACACATTTGTCATTTCTTTGTGATGAGAACATTCAAAACCTCTGTTCTACGTATTTTGAAATATACAATACACTATTGTTAACTCTAACGATCATATTTAATAGAACACCAAAATTTATCTAAACATCACATTGTATTTCATAAATATGTGCAATTATTATGCTGGTCATAAATAAAATTTTAAAAGAAGAGAAAAGGAGCTATTCATAGACATCTACCTCTTTCTGCTCAAAACTTGATGGGAATCACAGTCCATTTTTAATCAATATTTTCTTTTGCAAGTGGCCCACCTGCTCTGACTCATTATCTTTCCATTTATCACCTCTCACTTAATAAATTATTAAGCCTAATGCTGTACTATTAGGGAAATAATTATAAGAAATCATTAACTGCATTAGATTAATCATAAATTCAAGAAGTTCTTGCCGATATCCACCCAAGTGGGAGAAACATTTAATTTTTTTTAAAGATTTTTGACACAGGGCACGTACACTCATTGAGAGAGACAGAAAGAGACAATGAGAAGGAAAGTGAAAAACCACTCCCCCAATGGGGATGGTCATGCAGTAATCCCTTCTCCTCCATCCTCCTCCTGGGATTTTGGGCACTCATGCACACAGCTGGCATGATTTTCAAGCCACCAGGTCTAGGATTTGAACTGTGGTTAGCTATGTGAGAGTCCATACCACCTGCTGGCCTGACATTGAACTTTAAATAGACTCAGGCTGTCCTGACGTTTCATCCTCACCATCTGAGAAGGGGGCAGAATGGAGCCAGGGGTACCAGAACATCCTGTGCCCAGTTCAGTTCATTTCTAGCAGGGGTACCACCTTGGCCTCATTCTAAGCTCCCTCCCACTCTTTTTTTTTTCTTTTAAACAGATTTCTGCTCTAAGGTGTGTGTGTGCTCCCTATAGAGACAGAGAGAGACAGAGAGAGACAGAAAGTGAAAAATCATCCCCCAAAGGGGATGGTCACACCACAATCCCTTCTCCTCCATTCTTCTCTTAGGATTTTGGGCACACATGCGCATGTGCCCAGCATGATTTTCAAGTCACTGGGTCAGGATTCAAACTATGATTGGCCATGTGAGAGTCCAGCGCCTTAACCACTATACCACCTGCTAGTCCCCTAAGCTCCCTCTATTTACACCATGACTTACACTTAATCACGAATACCCTGACTCTGCCTTCACAATGTCACAAGCATCAAGCATTTCTCTATCATCTTCATGCTGTCTATCATTATCTCTCAATAGGCTTCTAGATGATCCCTAGTCTCTCCCTCTTTTCAGTAACCTTCTCCACCTACCTGGCCTGTTACCTCCCCAAAGCACAGCTATGATCATTTCACTGTTCTATTCAGAGACCTTCCCAGACATCTAAAAGGCCTGCCCTGGTTTTTCTGACAGCTCTAAGCTTAAAGATATAGTCCTAGGAATTAAGCGAAATTTCAAGATAAAATTTACTTCAATGCAATGGCAGCATGAGCTTAAAAAATTAAGTTTCTCACTCCCCCTTCCCTGTCTTCCTTGACCTTCTTCTGTCTGGGTGAGCACAGTGTCTATGAGCCTTTCTCTTCTTTCGTGACATAGTTGTGCAGGAGTCAAATGAGATGGTGAATGAGTAATGACTGGCATTCAGTTGGCCTTCAGAAAGTGTCCTTTCTCTCCCAACTCATCCCGACAGGACAATTACTTCACCCTCAGAGTCAATTCACAAGAGTTACAATGGGTACTGTATTGGGTTGAATTGTATCCTCCCTAAAAAAATTCATATGCTGAAGCCCTAACTCCCAATGTGGCTATATTTGGAGATGGGGCCTTTAGGAAAATGAGATAATAAATCGGATAGAACTGGTATCCTTATACAAAGAGGAAGTGGGTCATATAGCGGTGTTGTGGTAACACAACTAGACCCACATGGGAAGGTCTTTATCTCTCTGTGCACACAGAGAAGAGACCGTATGAGGACACACTAAGAAGACAGCCATCTACAAGCCAGGAAGAGAGGCCTCATCAGAAACCAACCCTGACAGCACCTTAATTTGAGAGACTTCCAGCCTCCAAAACTGTAATAAAATAAATTGGTTAAGCACCCAGCCTGTGTTATTGTGTCAAAGCAGCCTGAGAAGACTAAGACAGACGCCATCACTTTATCTACATTCCCCAGCCAGGTTTCCATGCTGCCCTTCCCTCACTACAGCTCAGTAACAAAGCCTTCATCACAAGGTTTCCCAAACTCTCTCTGTTCACTGTTCACCCACGTTTGTGCCCATTTCAGAATCACGCCTTACGTAGGGAGTGACACGGTGACGTGAATCATCATGTCCTTCTCTGTAATTTCCTCCCACATTCCTTTTGAATTCTGGATTTTAGACTCTATCTAATATTTCTCCAGCTTGACCTTGCATCAGACTCTCCTCTTTCCACACTCTCCTCATCCCCTCATGGGGCTCAAAACGCCATTACAAGTCTTTAGGCAGGTTTGCTGCCACTTTGCAGGACGAGAAAACCCAAGGTTGCTATCATGGTAATTGGGGAAATAGCCAAAAGGCAAGGAATTCATGATCACATTTTACTATGTAAATTTCCTATCTCGGAAGTTTGACAAGAAAAAGAGATACATGGAGAAAGGATAAGATCTTGCAGGTCTTGTGTGCCCTCTGCAACACCTCCCAAGTGGTGGTCAGCTTCTGTAGGCTTACCTCCAGGGACAGAGAGCTCCTGGTCTTCCAAGGCAGTTGAGTGCACGATGGAACAACTTAGTTAAAAATTCTTCTTTGCTTTGACCTGAAATCTATTCCCTTAACCCTACTTCCACCATCTAGGGCGAGGGAATATTATGCAGCCATTACCATTATAGCTTTAAAGAATTTATTAGGATACTGTGGAAGTGCTAATGACAAAAATGTCAAACAAAGGTTGGGTCCATACTGCATTCTATTGCACTGCTCAAAAGAAACCAGATCCCATATGATGACAGTTGTTTGAATCCCAGGCTTAGTCAGCCTGAGGCATAGCAGGTACATGTGTGTACTCAAAGCTCGAACTGACTGGAGGACTAGAAGAAGAGGATTACACTGTGATCAGACGAGTCCAGCAGGTGTTCTCTCTCTCTCTCTCTCTCTCTCTCTCTCATGCATATTCATACACTCTATCATAAATAAAGAAAAAAACTACTTTTTTAAAAAGTCAGCAAAAATAAAATATACCTACCTATATACTATGTGATCCCCCAAAATGTTTACATACGTGTGTGCACATAAAATAATGGAAATATATCCAAATTTAACAGCGGTTATATTTGGAAAAGAAAAAGATGCATGCATTTTCGGGTTAATTTTTTAAATTCTTTCCCTGTGATGAGTTTGTGGAATTTTGTAATCTGAACACAACTTTTTAAAACCTTTAACCACAAAGGACAATTCCAGAGCTGTCTCCAATTCTGGCAGAGCCTGAGGACCGAGAATAAAGCAGGCAGGGAAGCATGTGTTTATTTGGAGGAGGGGTACAGAAAAAGACATGAAAATGTCATTGAACGCTAACTACAATAATGCTTTATGTGACAGAAAAAAGAGAATAGACATCATAAGGTAGCTCCTCCGATATTAGAGCTGAAATTACCTCAGAAATGATGAAGGTCAACCTTGTTATTTTCAAATGAAAAGAAAATTATGGCCCAGCGGAAGACAGTGATTTGAGTGTGTACATTAATTTTATCTTATTTCCATACCCTGAAGAAAGTCAGAGAATGCAGGCACACTCAGGACCACTAACCGAGGAGTCAAGAATTGCCCAAGGCAGTGGGCGATGGATAGGTGTGTGTCATCTTGGCCCCACACTCAGA